TGCTACTGAGCCTACGGAGCCTCGGGTTACTGCGTCTGGGGGTGCTCCGGTTCGGGGTGCTGAGCAGTCTCTCACACCGCAGCAGCTTCGTGACTGGTACGTCCGGCGCTTTCGCCGTCCTAGTGGCTCGGCTGGAGTTGGGGGTGCTGGGGCTGCTCGTCCTGGGGGTGCTCGTACTGGGGGTACTGGAGCTGCCGGGACTGGTTGTTCTGGGAGCACTGCGACTGGAGCTGCTGGAGCTGGGGACTCTGGCGCTGGCGGTGCTAGCGGAGTTGGAGCTGCCGACTCTGGGGGTGGCGCTGCTGCTGGTGCTGCGGACCCGCCTGGTGGAGCTGCTGCTGGAGCTGAGGACCCGAGCGGTGACGCTGCTGCTGGTGCTGGGGACCCGGACGTTGGAGCTCCTGCTGGTCCTGAGGACCCGGCCGCTGGAGTCTCTTCTGCTTCTGGAGACGCTGCGCGGCCGCGACCGTACTTCGTACCGCTCCTTCAGCAGGTTCTTGGGCAGGCTCCTCCTCCTTGTCCTCCTCCCTCCGTAGAGTGTCCTCCGCCTGTCCAGCCGCAGTCACAGTTACCGCCTGCCTCGCCTCTCCCTGCTCCCTCTCCTTACGCTGGTCCCACAGGAGGTCTTACAGAGCGTCGTGAGCCTGAGTCTCGTCCTGTGTCGCCTGTTCGTCCTGCTCGCACTGGTAGTCGTGTCCGTCGTGAGCGTCCTCCTCCTGTCCCAGGCACTCACTACATGACTCTGCGTCCCTCTACTGCTCCTCGGCGTGTCCCTCTACCGTCTCCTCCTGCGTCCTCTTTGCCTGCCGTTCCGGACCCTGAGTCTGACCGGTATCGCGCTGAGCACCCTACAGTCACGCGTCTCCTCGCTACTGTTGTCACTGACCCTACCTTTGAGTCCTCGGCTGCGTCTGCTCTGGTCGCTGAGTTGGTTGACTTTGCTGCTGCCTGTCGTCTAGACTACGCTGCTAGCCTTGTTGCTGAGTCAGAGTCTGCGTCTGTCTGTCCTCCGTCCGTCGGGGGTGAGTGTGCTCTTGGCACGGACGTCCTTGAGGACAGGCAGGAGGACTTTGACTCTCTTGCGGCTGCTGTACCTCATCTCGTGGCCTGGTTGCTTGCCCCTGAGGGAGACCCGGATGCACTAGACATCCCCACTCCGCGCACTTACGCAGAGGCGATCTCGGGTCCCTACTCCTCTCAGTGGCAGACAGCCATGGACGCAGAGATGGCATCCTGGAAGTCCACAGGCACCTACGTCGACGAGGTTCCCCCTCCTGGGGCGAACATCGTCGATGGCATGTGGATTTTCAGGGTGAAGCGGCCGCCAGGTTCTCCGCCTGTCTTCAAGGCTCGTTACGTTGCTAGAGGCTTCAGTCAGCGTCAGGGGGTCGACTTCTTCCAGACCTTCTCCCCCACCCCGAAGATGACCACTCTTCGGGTTCTGCTGCACGTTGCTGCTCAGCGTGACTACGAGCTTCACTCTCTTGACTTCAGCACAGCGTTCCTGCAGGGCAGCCTGCACGAGGAGATCTGGCTGCGCCGCCCACCTGGCTTTACTGGGTCGTTTCCCCCTGGTACCCAGTGGAGTCTCCGCCGGCCAGTCTACGGTCTCCGCCAGGCGCCACGTGAGTGGCACGACACACTGAGGACTACACTTGCGGCTCTTGGGTTCGCGCCGTCTACTGCTGACCCGTCGCTGTTTCTGCGCACAGACACGTCGCTGCCGCCGTTCTACATTCTCGTGTACGTCGACGACTTGGTCTTTGCTACTGCTGACACTGAGGCACTCGCTCGTGTGAAGTCGGAGCTGCAGAAGAGACACACCTGCACTGACCTGGGTGAACTGCGTAGCTACCTTGGCTTGCAAATCACCCGGGACAGAGCACGCCGCACCATCACCCTGACTCAGTCACACATGGTGCAGCAGGTCCTTCAGCGCTTCGGCTTCCAGTTCTCCTCACCACAGGCCACACCTCTGGCTACCAGCCACTCGCTCTCAGCTCCACCTTCGGACGAGTCCGTAGAGCCGAGTGGCCCGTACCCAGAGCTTGTAGGCTGCCTCATGTACCTGATGACTTGCACGCGACCTGACCTCGCGTACCCTCTTAGCATCCTTGCTCGTTACGTTGCGCCTGGGAGACACAGGCGAGAGCACTGGGAGGCTGCTAAGAGGGTGTTGCGTTACCTGTGCGGTACATCAGGCATGGGGCTGGTGCTTGGAGGACGTGACAGAGTTGTCCTCACTGGTCACTCGGACGCTTCTTGGGTGGACGACCTGGCTACGCAGCGGTCGTCACAGGGTTACACCTTCAGCCTTGGCTCTGGTTCTGTCTCGTGGCGGTCCACCCGCTCTTCCTCTGTTCTCGGCTCTAGTTGTGAGGCTGAGATCTACGCCACAGCCATGGCTGCACAGGAGTTACGCTGGCTCACCTACCTGCTGACTGACTTGGGAGAGCGGCCTAGTTCTCCTCCAGTTCTGTACGGTGACAACAAGGCGGCTCTTGCCTTGTGTCAGGAGCACAGACTGGAGCACAGGACAAAGCACATTGCTCTTCGCTACTTTCTTGCTCGAGAGCTTCAGCAGCGCGGTCAGCTTCGGCTTGTGTACGTGGACTCGAAGGCCAACACTGCTGATATCTTCACCAAGGCGCTCCCGCCTAGTGATCATCAGCGGCACTGTACTTCTTTAGGCCTTGTGTCCACGTTTCCTCACTTGCTCACTGCTTGACATTCTTTGTACTGTACTTTATATATATCTTGTTGCTTGCTTGCTAGGTTTTGATCACTGTGTTGCTTGTCTTGTACTATATCTAGCACTGCATGTGAACTGGCCTTGTGGCCTTTACTTGTGCTCGGAGTGTGGTGACGTTGTGATCCACCCTGGGCTTTGCTTTGCTTTGCTGGACTGGTCTTGTGACCCTTTGTTCTCCCCCACTTTGCCTATGGGGGTGTGTTAAACTGTATTATGCTTGTAGGCTGTAGTGGGGTAGCCAATATGGGGTACAACCCCAACTAGGGTTTCATATTTGTACCCAAACTTCTGCTAGTTCAATCATTCTTGCCTAGCTATTCTGAAAGCACGCGCCTGTGGGGGAGATGGGTGGGGGTTGAAAGAGGAGCCGGCAACGATAATCCCGGTGGAGCGGGATGAGGAGCATATCGAGCAGCTGAGGCAGCTTAACCAGTCGACAAAGCATGTCATTAACATGCTGCCGTTTGCTGGTGCCTGTCAAACATTTATCATATAGCCTATTTAGGCTGTAGTGGGGTAGACACTAAGGGGTACTGTTTCCTAGGGTTTCATACTTGTACCCATCTCATCTTCTAGTCAATCATTCCTCTCACATTTCACAGTGCCATCCTGCAATACGAGGGGGGAGGAAGGGAGGGGGGAGGGTGGGGGAGAGGGAGTCAACCAGCATACCGTAATCCTGATGGAGCGTAATAAGTTGGACAACCAGTCCGCCACGCTGGTTGTTTTGCCAGCCCCTTCCCCTTGGCTTGTGCGCTCCTGGGCTATTGAACTACTACCCATGCCTGGTAGGAGTTTTCACCCAACCCGTGCCTCCGTCGCAGCTCAAGAAGGTTCAAAAAGGTTGATTCTAGTCGTAATATGTTTTCCCCTTCTACCGTATTCCAGGTACGGCAGGGCTCAGGTTATCAGTGTAATTTACCCTTCTACACTGATTACAAGGGTGAAATTTTGGGTCTACACTGATGTGCTGGGGTAATTTTTTGATGAGTTAGTGTTACACTGATCAGTAAGTGTATCGATGTAGGCCACACTGATGCCTTGGGGTAAAGTTTCCCTTAGCGAAGATTACACTGAAGAGCGTACACGGACCCCCACACCCACCCCCCCCCCCCCCCCCCCCCCCCCCCCTTCCCCACAAACAATCGGTCGAGGGGGAGGGGAGGCGAAATTCTCGCCAATTTCGTAAGTCCTCCCCTTCCCCCCCGCCCCTCACAAACAATCGATCGAGGGGGAAGGGGAGGCGAAATTGTCGCCAATTTCGTAAGTCCTCCTCCCCTTTCCCCCCGCCCCTCATAAACAAACAGTCGAGGTGGGAGGGGACCTGGGAGGCAGATAACTTTCTCGCCACCTGTCATACACACCTAATTTACACATGATGTGTCGGTGCTTGGAAAAAAACCACACTGATGATGCAGGGTAAAAATTTCAAAACCTGATGTTACACTGCTCTATCAGTGTAATGGAAAAGTACACACTGCCCATAAGGGTTTTTGAAAAAGCTACACTGCCAATCGTGAGTAGGCCAAAACCAAACCTGAGCCCTGAGGTACGGTATGAGTCAGCTCGAAATATGCTTTGAGATGGAATTTCCTTGTACCGTGTGATACAACACAAATCAGTCACTTTTAGAGTAGGTTGATTCATGTGGAAGAGACGTACAATAAAACGCAACACATTCTTCAGTCTGGCAACTTAACAAAACCGCAAGTTGCAGTCAAATGCCGTACCACACCAAATTATTCTCTGCAGCAGAGAGAGAATCAAGCCAACCCAGCACATAATTTACAGGTGTTTCGTAGCTGTAGCAGCAACTGCTGTCCCATTTCATGCCACTTGGGGGTAGTATCGCCACCATGCGCGACGGGGACAGTAGTTGTGCTGCGCCGTTACAATGTAACAGTTAGACCACTAAGCTTAGCATCCCTGTAGTAGCCTCCAGCTGAACCCACCCTCCCTGAACACCCCCCTTCTTTGAGGCGCCATCATTCCCCTCACTAGCCAGAGACCAGCGTATGGGGGGATAGACCGCAGCAGCTGCAGCAGCATCTTCTGCTGTAGCTTCAAACCCTATCGCCCCATCCTCGCACTTCCCCCAATTCCCCCACCATTCCCCTCACTAGCTAACGACCACCGTATGGGGGGGTAGACCGCAGCAGCTGCAGCAACATCTCCTGCTGTAGCTTTGCTTTTGACAGTGCTGGCCGCTTGGGAGACACAGGGACACCACCATGAGGGGGTTGACACCCTATCGGGCAGTCCTGGCACTTCCCCCAATCCCACCATTCCCCTCACTAGCCAACGACCACCGTATGGGGGGGGTAGACCGCAGCAGCTGTAGCAGCATCTCCTCTTGCTGTAGCTTTGCTTTTGACAGTGCTGGCCGCTTGGGAGACACAGGGACACCACCATTAGGGGGTTGACACATAGCAGTGGGAGACAAAAGAGGGTGAGGCGACTGGCTGTTGCTACTGCTACTCGCCCCAACGCTGCTCCCCTCTCCCCCTTCTCCCCCCGCTCCCTCCTGTGCCGCCTCCCCTTCCGCCCACCCCTCCCCCATCTCCTCCTCTCCCCACTCTCCCCCTCTACGCGAGACTACAGACAGGGACGTGGGCATAAGCCGCCTAGCTCCCCCTCCGCTCCCCCCTCCGCCCCCCCCCTCCCCCCCTCCCGCCCCTTTCCCCCTCTCCCCTCTTTCCGCCACCGACATTCCCCTGTGGAATCTCGAGATGCCATCCTGGCCGTCCATTCCCTCCCACACGCGCGGACTCCCCATTCCCCCCGCAGACGCCGAACCTCCCCCCGCCCCCCCGGGTCCGCTCCCCCCAAAGCTCCCCCCTACTCCCCCCCTCGCTATAGCCCGCGCCATCTGCAACGGCCCTCCTCTAGTCCCCCCTATAGTCACATTCTTTAGAATCTCCTGTAACCGTTCGTGACTGCTCTTGGGGGCGGTTTTCCCGCCCTTTTTCCGCCCTCTCCGCCCCCTCCCGCTTCCCGTCCGCCTTCCGCATTCCCGCGTCCCCCTCTCCTCCCCCCGTCCCCCCTACTAATGCTGCCGCTGTAATTGTGACGGCTACGATCCATTGCTACTGAATGACTCTTAGTTAAGCGCGGACCATAAACGTCCCCTGCTCTACCTCCCCCGCCCCCGCCCCTGCTTCTTTCAAATGACGTGGCAGGGACGGCTACTGACGTGGATGAAGGAAAGAACGCCTCTGCTGACGTGGCGGCACGTGGCATGGACACGCTGGCGCGGTCATGGCGAAAAGCGATACTGTCCGTTCCCGCTTCTCGAAAAATATTGGTATCAGATTGGATTTCCTCGTCAATATTTGATTCCTCGACCCCATGCCTCTCCGCCCCTTCTTTTCCCCGTTTTCCCCCCACCTCCTCCGCACGTTCCCTTTCCGCGATTCCCCCTGTCGCCTTCCTCCCTGCCCCCTCTTCGCCCTCCCCTTGCAAAGCGCGCCCCTCCCGAGTGAGATTTTCCCCCTCGGCGCAACTGCTGCTGGCTCCTGATTCGCTGTCACTCCGCATTCCCCGCCCGCACAGTAAGAACCCGCGGAGAGCCCCCGCTCCCCCTGCTCCCCCCGCTCCGCCCGCTTCCCTTCCTCCCCCCACCCCCCTCTCCTCCCCGTCTAATTCCGCATTCTCCATTACGAGCGCGGAGGGCGAGGCGACGCGGAATGAGAAGGGACCGGAGCCGCGGACCTCGTTTCTAGAACTTTCCCCCGTGACAGTCACCCCGTCTGCTCCCGCTTCCGCCGTTCCCCGCGAAACGGCGGAATCTTTACTGCGCGGAACCGCATTCTCGGGAGAGCGGAACATCGCCACCGCCGCCGTCACTCCGCTCATCGACCGGGAGCGCAGCCGAGCCGCGAATGTCGGTTTGGTCGGCGACTTCGGCGGCTGCGCGGCAGAGACGAAAGTAGCGCTAAGGCATCCCCGATTGGCTTCAGTCCACAAACGAAGGTTCTTAGTGGCTTCGCTACTGCTTACGTTTCCGACTGCGTGGGTGGTGCTATCACGGGCAGAAACGACAGTACGGTCAATTTGGCTCGCGGTCACGTTACCGTTTCCGTCTCCGTTTCCGTTACCGTTATCATGACCCCTAACGTCTGTCGACTCCCGTCCGCCGGCCGTCGCACTCGAAACCGCGGAACCGACCCCCGCGACTGCTACAGCCGATTCGTCTAGCCTTTTGCGAGGCGCCTCGGAAATCGACGTCGCTAATCCTACAGCTGCTACGGAAAAATCGTCTCCGCCCGACGGAAACCTCGGGAACCACCTTCGGGAGTTTCTTGAAACGGACGGATTTTCGTTCGCGAGGCGCTTCGAGATGTCTTTCTGAAGGCCCGACGCGGTGGAGTGGACGGCGTGCAGAAAGACGCTGAGCTGCTTCCCCGCAGTTTCCGCCGAGGAGATTAACTCCGCCAGGTCCCGTTGGAAGCGCTTCAGGTCCGCCGGGCCGCAGCTGGGGAGGGATATATCGCTGCGCGTCGGCGCTTGCGCCACCTGGAAGGGGGGAGCGGGAATGGGGAGGAGGGAGCGGGGGAGCGCGTTTTGAGGCGCCACAAGAAGTTGTGGGGCCGCAGCTGGGGATATGTCGCTCCGCGTCGGCGCTTGCGCCACCTGGAGGGTGGGGGAAGGGGGCGGGAGGGTGCGGAGGCGCGGGGACCAGCGAGGGGGGGCGGAGACGGGGGACGTGAGGTCGCGTGGCGCCATGGCGGGAATCTTGTAGCAGTGTGGCACGTACCAGCATCACACAAGAACCCGCTTCCCAAATTCTCCTAGATGCTTCTCCCGTACTTTATCGCGCAAAACAGCTGTTTGTGTCCCTCACACTGTAACTGAATTTCACCTTAATTATCACAGAATCTATTTACCTGCGAGAGCACGACGTTGAGTTGCGCCATAGCGGGGATCTTGTAGCAGTGCGCGACGTACCAATCCGCCTTCCACACGTCGCCCACCACGTCCGCCGCCAGCGACGCGCCGCCAGGCACCGGCTTCGACGCCAGCGACGCGCCGCCAGGTACCGGTTTCGCCGCCAGCGTCATGGCAGCGGAGACTGCGGGCTGGGACGGCGACATCGGGATTACCGACATGGTGGTAACGGCACTGATGCTATCACTTGCGCGGGTGCTGTGTATGCACTGCACAGTCGTGCGTAAAAAGTCGTGACGCTGCCTAATCTGCGCGAGGCGGTAAACAAGCTTGAACTAAACTTAGAGATGCGAGACGCGGCGCGTAGATAATCTACGCCATGGAGATATCGCTAATGAAGTTGTGCAGTCAGGTTTGAGTTTGGACATGGAACGCTGTCCATTGCCTATGGAGGCCCATAATTACCGAGAGAAACTAAGGAGCATGCTCAGTAGGGTTGAGAAATCCTATGGTCCGAAACCTGACACACTGTACATCCACGTACTCGAATGTTCTCTACGAGCCGCTCGCAAGGTCGCTGGGACTCAAGAATGGAGCGGCAAAGTCTCAAAATGCCAAGTGTGGCTCGCCAGAAAACGCCATGGCTGGAGACAGCGGAATTGCCATGTTGGGAAGGCGAGTACGCAACAAGCCATGCCCATGGCTGCGTTGGACTAGAAGCAGGACGAAGCAGGATGCAAGTCTCTGTCGTTGGGACTGGGACAACGCTTGCTCCTCGTTCAAGCAGCCATTGCAGGGACGATGCTTGGCGCGTCATTGGCGGGATGGGTGAGAAACAGAGGGGAGGACACAAGACCAGAAAGAGGGACCAGGGGAGAAAAAGGGATCTGGGGAAGGCTGGGGGGCGACGGGGAAAATTGCGGGAGGCTTTGGGAATTGCTTGCGGATTTGTGACCCTAGGGATTGCAATATGCTTGGGGAGATTGTAAAAGTTTGGAAACGATACTGAACGTTTCGAAAAGGTTGCAAACTTTTGAAAGGATAAACGACTATGGGGAGAGGGGTTGGGGGAATGAAAAAGGGCGCGGAGCGGAATGGCGAGCAGGAGAGAAGAGAGGGGGTACAGTAGTTGACGGGGGGAAAGGGGGACGGGGAAGTGACGAAAGCAAAAGCGCGTGACGCTGAAAAAAACGACAACCCCAGAGGGGCGCACCAACCAATTGGGGCAACGCGTTGGGTCAGACCCCGTCAGTGGATGGCCCCAATTGGGCAGCCAGAAAGCAAACAAGGCAAATTTTTACTGTACAGCACTTAAGACCAACCTTTGAAGTCCTTCAGCGGAACAGCAGCCACGCGAGCGAGTTTGGAAGAGGCGTGGGCACGCAGGGTGGTGGAGGAGAGAGAGGAGGAGGCAGGTCCATGTTCTCCCCTAAGCAAACAAAAACAACGGGCTTGGTTTAGCGAATTTCAGGTCTCAATATTCGATACAGTACAGAGTGTAGCATAAATAACTTTTCCGTCGGACCGACCCGACCGACAGTCAACCGACCAAAATGGTTCTCGCTGAAATCAAATCCAAAGCAACCATCAAAGGATACTTTCGAAAGTGGTATGGTAAGTCATCGATATAGATGAATCCACAACAGCGCTTCTAATGTCCTTATTACTATACTAAAAAAGAGTTTTGTGGTAAAACCTGCTAACGTAGTTAGCAGCCTTCAGGCTCTCAGGCACCTCATAGTGAAATCCACTAGATGGCGCGTCCAAAGCAGGCTTGTACACGCTCGCCAACCAGAAACATGAGCAGGTGTTGTACAAGCACACTGGCTTGTACAAGCGCGAGAATTGCAGCCGCGGTTCGTCTCCACGCCGTCGATCGTGCTCAGCAGGTGCAGTACGGTGTTCGTGTTGGAGTGGAAGCATCAACAATCAGCAACCAAAACAGGGCTCGCCGATATGGATATATGATTCAAAACATGCGTACATAAACACAGCAGGAACAAGAAATAAAGCTTGAAGAATAGCTCCTGCTATGGTCCAAATTGCTATCCTCAAAATTACTTGAGGGTAGAATACAAGTTAGTCCAGGTATGCAGCTTTAAGGTTAGCAGGTACGTCATAGTGTATTCCATTCAAAGGACTGTCTAGATCAGACTTGTATATGCTCTCCACGAGAGCCAGTGCTTTCTGAAAGAAGAAGAATGCAACACACACACACATGCACATGCACACGCACACGCACACGCATACGCATACGCGCGTGCACGCACGCACGCACACACACACACACACACACACGCACACACACACACTTCCCTCCCCAAACACACACACACAAAGGCACGTGGCACGTAGACAAGCCCACATGGTCAACGAGTGTAGCAACAAAAAGAGAAAACAGAAATGAAAAGCTGCGAGTGATGCAGAGAGAACAATCAAGCCCACAGTTTAACATACCTTGTTATATAGTTTAACGGTTTTGTCAGAAGCATCAGTCGGGTGTGCTCCCCGGCCAATATTGAACGCATCACTCGCATCCTTGCCGAACCGATTTAAAACCTCCGCCACGTCATGCTCGTAATTTTCAAACCGCCCCACGTAGTCGTACTTGATCCGATGCAGCTCACACACATCAGCCTGGATGGGGTTGGGAACAGAGACACATCGTCATTCTCAATGTCCCGTCGTGCTTGTGCCTCTGAGAGTTCTCAAACCTTCCCACATACATGGTCGTCATTAATCCGATGAAAGTCACACACGTCAGCCTGCATGGGTAGAAGAAGGCAGGTGATGCATGTAAACGTATGCTCAGGCATGATATGACATGCTTGTCCATACTCCCATTGCACCACTTGATACTCTCCCTGTGCCACGTCAGCTCCACAACAAAGTCAACAATATCAAGGAAGTCAACCCAGTCAACCACCCCCCTAGTACAACCCGTACCTCTGGCATGATATGCGCATCCATGATACACCGCCTGCTCTTCTCCATGTGCCACGTCAGCTCCACAAAGTCAGGAAAGTCAAACAGGTCCGACCCGTTCTGGCGGTCCACTAGCCGCCGAAACTGCGCAGTGTTGTGGAAGAAGCGCGCGTTCCAGTACGCGCGGTCGTGAGGGGGGCCGCCTCCCACGTGCTTGTTCAGGTACGCCGATGGTAACCGCGTGTACGGGTTACGCACGAACGTGAACTTGAAGTAGTCGGGGCGCGTGAGGTATCGGATCACCTGAAGGGGAGGAAGAGGGGGAAGAGGGGAACGATGTAAGGGGGTAGAGCAAGGTACGTCGATGGTAACCGCGTGTACGGGTTACGCACGAACGTGAACTTGAAGTAGTCAGGTCGGGTCAGGAAGCGGATCACCTGAAAGGAGAGGGTGCAGGGGCACAGGGGTGAAGATATGCCAGTGGTAACCACGTGTACGGGTTACGCACGAACTTGAACTTGAAGTAGTCGGGGCGCGTGAGGTATCGGATCACCTGAAGAGGGAGGGACGTGGAGGGTAAAAGGGACAGGTTTCAAGCGATCCCACTCGGTTCGAAGGGGTTTCAGTGGCGTTGGGATCATGGGCGATACACGCATTGGTGGTGTTGACTAGGTGCTGATGCTGCCGCTGCATACCCCCACATACGTGCACACACTGACACCAATGCATACCTTTGGAACCACACTTAACCCATTCACACACCTCTCTCTCCTGCATGTCGAACACCAGCAGCTTGAGCCCCGAGTGCTTTGGATCGTGTGCTATCAATGCATCTGTAGCGTTGGGGCGGTGCTGCTGCTGCTGCTGCTGCTGCTGCTGCTGCTGCTGCTGCTGCTGCTGCATACCTTTCTCACCAAGCTTATCATGAAACAAACCACACCACTCAACCACTCTACATACCTCTCTCTCCTGCATGTCGAATGCCAGCAGCTTCAGCCCCGAGTGCTTCGGATCATGGGCGAACAATGCGCCAGTAGCGTTGGGGCGGTTCTGTAGCTATATACCACTGGTACCGCACTTAACCCATTCACATACCTCTCTCTCCTGCATGTCAAACGCCAGCAGCTTGAGCCCCGAGTGCTTCGGATCATGTGCGATCAATGCGTCTGTAGCGTTGGGGCGGTTCAGCTGCTGCCGGAACCACACCTTCCACCCCGTGCATCCCGCCTTGGGCACGAAGCAGTACACTGTCTTGAGTTGCTCTGTAACGAGTACAGGGTGGGAAGGTGGGCGAGAGAGAAGGAAATGTTATTTGGAGGAACGAGTGGGAGCGGGCATTTGCTGCTGCTCCACACCTTCCACCCCGTGCACCCCGCCTTTGGCACAAAGCAGTACACTGTCTTGAGTGACTCTGTAACGGGGACAAAAGGAGTATGACTCGTGCTAGAAACCTGGAAAGTGGTTTCCTGTGAAGCAGCTCAAAGGGCAGACGGCTGTGAGCGACGGAGTGGGTGCCTTCCTCTTACCCACCACCTCCCAGACCTTCCCACCCATCCCCATCCCTCCTCACCGTCCACTAGGAATTGCTGCAGGTAGCGGCGGTTAACGAAGGGCGTGGGAGCGCGCGAGTCACACACACTCGGATGCACCTTAAACGGGTTCCCCGGGACCATAGCAGCTCCACCCTGCCTGCCATTCCCCGCCTCCGCTCCCTCCTCTCCCACCCGCCCTCCCTTCCCTTCCACTCCCTCCTCCGCTCCTCCTGCCCCTCCACTCCCCTCCCTTTCGCCGCCAGTTCCCGTCCCCCCCAACCTCCTCCCTCCGCCCAATCCCTCCCCCCCCAGCCCAAGCGTCCCCCTGGCAGTGCCGGCAGTGGCCTGGGCTTGGAGGAAGCGGGCCTCGAGGGACGCGCGGGTGTGGATGAGCGCCGCTGCTGCCGACACCACCCACGCCTCCGCCACCTGCAGCTGCGCGCAGCTCCACTCGCCGCTCTCCACGCGCGCCTGCAGCATGCTCAGCGCCATGCCACCTTGCACTGCCTCTGTTCTTTCTGCTTCTGCCCTGCCGCTCTCTGTGCTGCTCCCCCCCTCGCCGCTCTCCACGCGCGCCTGCAGCATGCTCAGAGCCATCTCCGCCTGCACGGCTTCTGCACTTAATTCTTCTGTTCTTTCTGCTTCTGCACTCGGTGCCTCTGCCCTCAGAACACCGCTCTCCACAGCCCCACCCTTCTCAATGCTGCCCTCCCCTCCACTACCCTCCCGGCCACCACTCTCCCCACAAGCACCCTCTCCATCACCCAGCAGTCTTCTCCTTCCTCTCATCACACTCATAAGCTTCCTCTCCACCCCTCCCCCACTTCCCTCCTCCCCTCTCTCCTCCTTGATTCCCAACCCCGCAACTTTCTCCCCTCCTGAACTCGACTCCCCAGCAGCAGGTGAGGATTCAGATAAAGAGGAAGTTTCAGCTGAAGTTTCAGCGGGAGATGAAGACTCGGATGAAGATTCGGTGGCAGAAGAGGATTTGGATGAAGTTTCACCCAGAACTGCGGATGAAGATTCGGACTGAGAATCAGACGAATATTCAGCTGAAGTTTCACCAGGGCCTTCTGCTGGCACAGCTTCAGCACCCCCTTCCGTGGTTGCAGCATCAGCGGCAGGAGCAGCGGCAGGGGGAGCGGCAGCGGGAGCGCCAGCAGGAGGCAGGGAGGGATTTGAGCAAAAGGCGAGGCGGAGGGCTGTGACAGGGAGCATTCTAGGGGCGCGGAGGGGGTGAAACGTGGACGCCACGTATTCTGCATCCGACGGCTCATACGCAGCGATCGTGAAATCCGACGCTGGGGATGAGTCCACTGGGGAGGCTGCGGAGGAGGAGGAAGAGGAGGAGAAAGAAGAAGAGGAGGAAGAAGAAGAGGAGGAGGAAGAGGAGGGAGGAGGAGCGGAAGCAGAGGAGGAAGGATCAGCGGAAGCAGAGTTAGGGGTTCCAGCACGGAGGTACCTCCAAGCAAGGGTTCTCACAGTGCAATCCCTCAGTGAGTTTCCCCTGCACCCCCCGCACGTGTACCCCCCAGGCGCAGCCGCCCCCTTCTCAAGGTAGACGGCGGAGGAGTGGGGGAGGGCGGAGAGGGCGGAGGCGGGGTGGGCGCGCATGATGGCCACCACGCCTGCTGACGGCCGCAACCCGCCCAGGCAGGCCGTTTCAAGTGCTCTCACGCTGCAGGATTCGGCGGAGGTCTGGCGGGGGGGAAGGGGGAATGGGGGGGGGGAACGGAAAGAGTCAGGGATTGATAGGGGAGGTGGTTTGACGGCCGCACCCCGCCTAGGCAAGCCGTTTCTAGGGCTCTCATGCTGCAGGATTCGGCGGGGGAGGGGGGACTCACCAGGTCCAAGCTCCCGCTGCTGGCGATTGTCATTGCAAGGTCGTCCCGCACCCACAGCCTGATGGTGCCCGCAGAGAGACGGTACTAGCTTGGAAGGAGTTTAGTGCTGTGGGATGCGGTGGGCTGCGGTGGCAACTCACCAGGTCCAAGCTCCCGCTGCTAGCCACCTCCATTGCAAGGTCGTCTCGCACCCACAGACTGACGGTGCCCGCAGTGGGGTGCTCGACATGTGTGCTAGCTTGAAAGGGGTCTAATGCGGTGGGGTGCGGTGGCAACTCACCAGATCCAAGCTCCCGCTGCTGGCGATTGTAATAGCAAGGTCGTCTCGCACCCACAGACTGACGGTGCCCGCAGTGGGGTGCTCGACATGTGTGCTAGCTTGAAAGGGGTCTAATGCGGTGGGGTGCGGTGGCAACTCACCAGATCCAAGCTCCCGCTGCTGGCGATTGTAATAGCAAGGTCGTCTCGCACCCACAGACTGACGGTGCCCGCAGTGGGGTGCTCGACATGTGTGCTAGCTTGAAAGGGGTCTAATGCGGTGGGGTGCGGTGGCAACTCACCAGATCCAAGCTCCCGCTGCTGGCGATTGTAATAGCAAGGTCGTCTCGCACCCACAGACTGACGGTGCCCGCAGTGGGGTGCTCGACATGTGTGCTAGCTTGAAAGGGGTCTAATGCGGTGGGGTGCGGTGGCAACTCACCAGATCCAAGCTCCCGCTGCTGGCGATTGTAATAGCAAGGTCGTCTCGCACCCACAGACTGACGGTGCCCGCAGTGGGGTGCTCGACATGTGTGCTAGCTTGAAAGGGGTCTAATGCGGTGGGGTGCGGTGGCAACTCACCAGATCCAAGCTCCCGCTGCTGGCGATTGTAATAGCAAGGTCGTCTCGCACCCACAGACTGACGGTGCCCGCAGTGGGGTGCTCGACATGTGTGCTAGCTTGAAAGGGGTCTAATGCGGTGGGGCGCGGTGGCAACTCACCAGATCCAAGCTCCCGCTGCTGGCGATTGTAATAGCAAGGTCGTCTCGCACCCACAGACTGACGGTGCCCGCAGTGGGGTGCTCGACATGTGTGCTAGCTTGAAAGGGGTCTAATGCGGTGGGGTGCGGTGGCAACTCACCAGATCCAAGCTCCCGCTGCTGGCGATTGTAATAGCAAGGTCGTCTCGGACCCACAGACTGACGGTGCCCGCAGTGGGGTGCTCGACACGTGTGCTAGCTTGAAAGGGGTCTAATGCGGTGGGGTGCGGTGGCAACTCACCAGATCCAAGCTCCCGCTGCTGGCGATTGTAATAGCAAGGTCGTCTCGCACCCACAGACTGACGGTGCCCGCAGTGGGGTGCTCGACACGTGTGCTAGCTTGAAAGGGGTCTAATGCGGTGGGGTGCGGTGGCAACTCACCAGATCCAAGCTCCCGCTGCTGGCGATTGTAATAGCAAGGTCGTCTCGCACCCACAGACTGACGGTGCCCGCAGTGGGGTGCTCGACATGTGTGCTAGCTTGAAAGGGGTCTAATGCGGTGGGGTGCGGTGGCAACTCACCAGATCCAAGCTCCCGCTGCTGGCGATTGTAATAGCAAGGTCGTCTCGCACCCACAGACTGACGGTGCCCGCAGTGGGGTGCTCGACATGTGTGCTAGCTTGAAAGGGGTCTAATGCGGTGGGGTGCGGTGGCAACTCACCAGATCCAAGCTCCCGCTGCTGGCGATTGTAATAGCAAGGTCGTCTCGCACCCACAGACTGACGGTGCCCGCAGTGGGATGCTCGACATGTGTGCTAGCTTGAAAGGGGTCTAATGCGGTGGGGTGCGGTGGCAACTCACCAGATCCAAGCTCCCGCTGCTGGCGATTGTAATAGCAAGGTCGTCTCGCACCCACAGACTGACGGTGCCCGCAGTGGGGTGCTCGACATGTGTGCTAGCTTGAAAGGGGTCTAATGCGGTGGGGTGCGGTGGCAACTCACCAGATCCAAGCTCCCGCTGCTGGCGATTGTAATAGCAAGGTCGTCTCGCACCCACAGACTGACGGTGCCCGCAGTGGGGTGCTCGACATGTGTGCTAGCTTGAAAGGGGTCTAATGCGGTGGGGTGCGGTGGCAACTCACCAGATCCAAGCTCCCGCTGCTGGCGATTGTAATAGCAAGGTCGTCTCGCACCCACAGACTGACGGTGCCCGCGGGTTCGTTTATAATGCCGTTCCTGCATGGTCGCAATGACACCTGCGTTTGGTTGGTGAACGGGTTGGGAAGGGGGAGATGAATGGCGGACGAACACACACGAGAGAGGTGCAGAGGAGAAGAGAGAATGACGAAGCAAGAACGAGAGAAGGCGCAATACAAACGAATGGGGGAGCGAAAGCTGAGAACAAACATGATACGTTCCCACACAAGAAAAAAAAAGGGGGGAGGGGGAAGCGAGGGGGCAGAGGGCAGCTTACGCTAATCTCCACCATGCCATTCCTGCTGACATTTGCCGTTTCCGCGTCACTCAGCCTTAACTCCGGCCATGAATCCACCGCTCCCTGCTTCTCCTCCTGCTTCTCCTCCTGCTTCTCCTCCTGCTGTTGCTGCTCCGTTTGGTTCCCCTTATCCTGCTGCCCAGGCTGATTCTCCTTAGCCCCATCGCCTCTCCTCGGTGCTCCCGCCAATAACCTCCGGATCTCTTCTTTTCCGGGCAGCCCGCCGAAAAGATCGTCCCCGCCCTTCCACACCACCGCCATTCCTCGCGCCTGCCCGGTTTGCTCCTGCTCCTCCGCGTTTCTCGCCGCGAGAACCGCCGCAACTGACGGAGCGGCGCAGAGGACGCCGAGGCGCGAAGGAAAATCGCCCTGGGGAAGGGGAGGAGCGCGTGGGGGGGGGGGAGTTGAGGAGGAAGGGGAGGAGCGCGGGAGGGGGAGGGGGAAGGCGGGGGAAGAACGGGATGAGGGCGGAGGAAGCAGAGGAAGGGAGAAGAAAACGGGACGGGATGTTATGGCAATGCCAGGTAGAACCGGACTGCAGGGTATCGACGGAGTGAAAACGATAGCGCTTTCATCCCCCCCCCTCCGCTTCTCTCATCCCCGCTACACTCACCTCCGTTACAGCGACGAACGCACTCTTCACAAGGATATCCTCTCCCCGCTTCGCCGTCTCCGCCTCTTCTTCTCCCTCCGCTCCCGCCGATGCTTCTGCCTCCACTGATTCCTCCGCTGGCGCAGTCTCCCCTGCCGTCGATGTTTCTGGTGTCGTTGCCTCCTCTGTTGATCTTGAAATCTCAACCGTTGATTCACCCCCAGCCGTTAATTTCTCCTCCTTCGGTGCCTTCTTCGCCGTCGATGCACCCTCCACGTCACCGCCACTAGAGTCCTGACCCTCCCCAACCACCACAGCTTCTCCTCCCGCCTCCTCCTGACTGGCTGTAATCTCACGTGCCACGTCAGCAGCCGCTACAGTCACCTCCACGCTCGAACCGCCCGGCCCGTGCTTAGAATCACCCTCGTTTAGAGGCGACTCGAAAATAGCCTCGAAAACAGACGCCTCAAAAGACGACCCGTTATCAGCGGCACTCTCGTTTGACTCTACCGAGGGTAACTCAATGGACGGTTCCACTATCGGGGTCACTCCAACCACGGCAGTTTCCCGAGTCCGGCCTTCGTTTGAGTCACTTGGGCGTCCCTTCTCTTCTCCTTTCCCAGGCTTCCCTTTCCCTCTGGATTTGACCGCGCCTTTCTCCTTCTCCTTCCTTACAGTCACATCCGCTACGCTCTCGTCTGATTTTAACGATACGGACTTAATCTCCTTCTCCGCTTTGCGCGCGAAAACCTCCGCAGGCTCCGCTTCCGCGGACTCCGCAAACCCCGCACCGCCCGCCGCGGAATCCGCGAATCCGCCAAACACGGACCCCTCTTCACCTGGAAACTTGCTAGAAGCGCCCTCTGCCGGTGCGGCGAGTGTTCCGGCGGCGGCGGCGGCGGCGGCGGAGGTGGTGGCAGGGGACGACATTTTCGATACGGACAGCGGAACTATGAGGCTTTGGCGAAACGGCTGTTGCGAAAACCCGCCTACGACGAAATTCGAGGCAACGGCGATTAAAGCCAGGAGTAACGCGAAGGGGAGTATGTGAAACGCGGCGCGCAATAAGTCCCCCCCGCCGCTCCCGCAGTACTTCCCCCACCGCAGCAGGCCCCACGGGTCGGCGGAGGCTGCGCGTGCGGTAACCGTGCGGGTGGTAACCGGAAGGAGCTTTTCGCCAGTTGGCGAAACTCGCTGATCTTCGCCTGTTTCGAATGTTTTCGCCATGGGTAGATCCAGTCAATGCAGATGCTTCCGGCGAGATTGTCGCTCAGCCAAACGGATCGAAAGAATCGCTGCTGGCGGCTCGGTACTGCTATATTATACAGCGGAAACGACGAGCACGGTAGAACGCCACTACGCTGCGCATTTCGCGGCGTGACGTACGCTAACGGTCGATGTTGGTTGAATTTAACGCAGTACTGGAGACCGGTTGCAAAGGTAAAGGCAACTTCACACAGCGGACTCAGAGGAGAGGAAGGTATGGCTGAAAGGTATGGCTGTAAAGAATCGACTGGAAAAACAAAAGGACCGCATCAAGAGAGGCTAGATTGCTGGAATTTAGAGGTGACGATTCTGAGTATTGAAGACTGAGAACGGGAGGTTATACTCGATGAGAGCAGGACGTTAGAGGCTACGAAGTAAGGCCGTAACGGACAGGTACGGACAAGAAGATTATGACGGTCCCCAGCTGCTACGCCACCAGTCGAGACCTTGATTGTCGGTCGTTTAGGGGAAGTGAATGAAGGCTCCACCTGAAATAAGGGGAGTAATGCTCCTACTTCGGACGAAAAGCCGACAGCAGGTGTACCGACGGGGCAGGCACGATCCGAGGAAAGTCGATTGGACGGCGGAGATCTACCGCCCTCTTTAAGGTGGAGCCAGTCAATCGATGCTAAGAGAAACGGGTTTGGACGGACGGAATCAGGCACAAATGAGAAATTTCCAAGGCAAAGGGTTGATGGCTGACGAGGAAATCTCGGCGGGTGAACTATCGGACGAGGAAAAACACATCACCGCGATTTTGACGAAGCTACGTTCGGGGATACTCGCTGTCAGAAGAAGGCGTTTCGGTCCAGTGGATTGCTGCGTTGACGAGTCTCCCGAACCTCGGTATGGGAGTGCAAGATAGAACAGACCGAGCGAACGAGAAAAGGGGAAGAGAGGGTGCTTGGGCAGAAAATGGCAGCAGCAAGCAGGGGAGGTAGGCACGAGTGGATTGACAGGAAATTCCCAACACGCGGCGCGACGACGAGCAGAAATGCGGCTCCATCCCCTCGCAGCGGCTGTTTCGGCATGTCAGACGCCAGGAATTGCGACACGCAGAGTTGCACCAAAGAGGTCGATCGGATTGAACTCGAGGACGAATCAGGAGAGGCCAATTTGGCGGCTCTTGCATCCGTGCCGTTTATTGGTGGCTGGTTGCTGACGCACGCGATTCGGCTTCGGGATCCTCCGTCAGAAAAGCATGGGTTCGGTTCGGGGCAGGTGTGGGTGGGGATGGGTGGCTTGTCTCAAACCTGATGTTTACGTAAGTGCAGGAACTAGCAAAACGGCTCACACGACTGCTGGCGACCAGAGCTGATTCTGAATTCGTCAGAACTTTCCGCAGGTGTGGTTTGGTCTGTTCACGGGTATGGTGGTTTCTTTTTAACCCGCGAACGCCTCCAATTCGTCAGTCGGCGCAAGCCGGCTGGCACCGAATTATGTCGGACACTTTTATGGCTCACTGCAGTTTCAGTAATATACAGTACTCACCAAATGAGCTCATGCTTCAATGGTTATGACATTTTTGTCATCAAACATGGGAAAATATCAAAACTTAATGCATCCAACTCATTCTAACCTACATCTAAGTTATGTATACTAACTACTGTTTCCAAACAATGTCGTCTATTGGGTAACTGCAGTTGTCATCCCGAACTTCCTCGCGAGCCCTTCCGGTACATCGTAATAAATGTTGTTCAACGGGATGTTGAAATCTGAGGCGTACAGGTGTGAAGCCTCAGTAAAGGCTCTCTGCAATCAAGAGGAAGACCAGGAAATAACGATACGTGATCAGATAGGGCTAAGCAGCGCAGGGGATAAAGATATAACCATGAAGGCTTGAGTAGGTAATCACTCTGAAAGAGGAAGAAGATAGCAAGAGACTCAATGCTCTTGACATACCTCGTCATATAGTGATGCCAGTTTGTCCTCTGCATTTGTCCTATGCGCATTCAGCCCAATGGAGAATGCTCCAGAGGCGTCTGTCTTATTCAGCCTATGCAGGACCTCTGCCACGTCAGCGTCGAGGCTCTCGAACCGGCCAATGAAGTCGAATTTGATGGCGTCGAACCGGCAAACGTCGATCTGTGAATGGGGCGAGCAGAGGAATGGAGCAGAAGCGCGAAGATAAGACTTGGATATCTGCAAAACGCATGACACCTACCGAATCTAATAACAAAACCAGTATAGACGCGCATCCTCCCAACCACGGATCCCCTCCCCCTTTCATATTCCATGACCCATCCCATTCCCTGTTCTCTTTCTCACCTGAGGCTGCACATGCGACTCCATATAGCTCATCAGCCTCTCCTCCACACTCCCCAGCAGATACGCAAAGTCGCTGAACCCAAGCAGGTCCTTCACCCCTTGCTTACCCACCCAATCCACCTACCTCCAATCCCCATCTCTCCTATTCCAATTCCAATCACTCCCATCCCAATTCCCATCACTCCCATGGCTCTCTCTCACCTGAGGCTGCACGTGTGACTCCATGTAGCTCCTCAACCTCTCCTCCACGCTCCTCAGCAGATATGCAAAGTCGCTGAATCCAAACAGGTCCTTCCCTCCTTGCTTACCCACCCAAACAACCTATCTTCAACCCCCGCCTCTCCCATTCCATCCCCATCCCTCTTTCTCACCTGTGGCTGCACGTGTGACTCCATGTAACTACGTAGCCTCTCCTCCACACTCCTAAGCAGGTACGCGAAGTCGCTGAACCCAAACAGGTCCTTCCTCCCTTGCTCCTCCACCCAATCCACCTACCTCCAATCCCCATCTCTCCCATCCCAATTCCCATCACTCCCATGGCTCTCTCTCACCTGAGGCTGCACGTGTGACTCCATGTAGCTCCTCAACCTCTCCTCCACACTCCTCAGCAGATACGCAAAGTCACTGAATCCAAACAGGTCCTCCCCCCCTTGCTCCTCCACCAGCTTTCTGTACGGGGTAATACCCCTGAAAAACATCTTGTTCCAGAACTGCCGCCCAAACGGCGGCCCTCCGTTCACATGCTTGTTGAAATACACCGACGCTAGCCGCGCGTATGGATTCCGAATAAACGAGAATTTGAAGAAATCCGGTCGGGTCAGCAGCCGGATCACCTCATACTCGTTATAGTGGTATGCGAGGATGTGTAAGCCGCTCTTGTAGTGGTCGTGAGTGAGGTACACGTCGGAAATGTTTTTCTGCCCCTGCCCCTGCTGCTGCTGCCGGAACCAGGTTTTCCAGCTTGTGCAGGCGACCTTGGGAACGAAACAATAGATTGTCTTGAGCTTCTCTGCAAGGAGAGGGAAGGGTAGACAATGCGAAGGGGAAGAAGAAGAAATCAGGTATAGGCTTATGAGGTATTCGACCAGGTTTTCCAGCTCGTGCAGGCGACCTTGGGCACAAAGCAGTAGATGGTCTTGAGCTTCTCTGCAGGTGGGAGGATGGTAGAATGGGAATGAGGGGGAAGAGCAGGGGTAAGCAGGTAGGAAGGCACGCAGGTAGGCAAGCAGCCGGCACGCAGGCGGGCAGGCAAGCAAGCAGGCAGGAAGATAATCAATCAAGCGGGCAGGCACACAACGCACCATTCACAATGAACTGCCGAAGAAACCTCTCCGCTGTGCCCTTGAACGACACGGCGGGAGGCGCCTCACACACACTTGGCTCCACCACAAACGAAGCTCCTGTGCTGCTGCTGCCGCTGCTGCTGTCAATATCCCACGCCTCTGCTCTCTCTTCTCCCTCTGCTCCCTCTGCTCCCTCTGCTCCCTCTGCTCCCTCTGCTCCCTCTGCTCCCTCTGCTCCCTCTGCTCCCTCTGCTCCCTCCTTTCCTTCTCCTTCTCCTCCACTCATAGCCCCTGAGAGCATACGACGGGCGGTGCCGGCGGTGGCCTGGGCATGGAGGAAGCGGGCCTCGAGGGACGCGCGGGTGTGGATGAGCGCCGCTGCTGCCGACACCACCCACGCCTCCGCCACCTGCAGCTGCCAGCAGCTCCACTCGCTCTTTTCACCCTCCCGTACAGTCACATCCACACCAGCAGCAGCATCGGCAGCATCAGAAGCAGCACCAGTAGCAACATCAACAGCAGCTGAATCCGAACCAGTTGACTGCTCCTGAAGCAGTCTTCTAGCTGCTGAGTCTCCCCCACGTGCACTGCTCTCTGCTGTGCTGCTCTCTGCTGTGCTGCTCTCTGCTGTGCTGCTCTCTGCTGCACCGTTCCCTAAGTCCGAGACTGCCTTACTCGGTTCTTGGCTACCAGACTCCGAAGAGGAGGAAAGTGAGGAGAAGGAGGTGGAAGAGGAAGAGGCGGGGGAGATCGAGGAGGCGGAGGAGTGAGAGCAGCGCCTGAGGCGGGCTAGGGTGACGGGAAGGAGGAGGGGCGCGCGGGAGGGGTGGAAGCTAGCAGCCACAGCAGCAGCATTCTCCGGCTCAAACGCAGCCACTATGAAAGATGACTCTGGGGAAAGGGTGGACGGAGTGGAGGAAGAAGAGGGGGAGGACGGAGAGGAGGGGGAGGAGGAGGAAGGAGCGGAGGGGGGGGAAGAAGGGGAGGAGGAGCCTGCACGGAGGTACCGCCAAGCGAGAGTGCGAATGGTGCAGTTCAGCAGGGGATCGTTTGCGCATCCCCCACAAGACCCTGCCGCTGCTTCTGTGGCTTCTGCTGCTGCTCGTGCGTCCTCCCCTGATGCCAACGCTACATCTCCCGCGCCTGTTTCCCCTCCAGCTCCCCCTGCGCCCCCTGCGCCTGGTGCAGCGGCGGCCCCCCTCTCGAGGTACACAGCGGTGGAGTGGGGGAGGGCGGAGAGCGCGGAGGCGGGGTGGGCGCGCATGATGGCCGCCACGCCTGCTGACGGCCGCACCCCGCCCAGGCAGGCCGCTTCGACTCGTCGTACAGTGCAGACCTCTTGAGGTGACTGGGCGAAGGGGAATGGGCATGAGAGGAGAGTGGAGGAAGGTAAGTAGCGCTACAGCCGCACCCCGCCCAGGCAGGCCGTTTCCACCCGCCGTACAGTGCAGACCTCTTGAGATGACTGGTGGGGGGAATGGGCATGAGAGGAGAGTGGAGGAAGGTAAGTAGTGCTACAGCCGCACCCCGCCAAGGCAGGCCGTTTCCAGATGGTGTGCGAGGCAGGCCTCATGAGGTGACAGGTGGAGGGAAATGCGAGAAGATGAGCCTGGCAAGGGGGGAATGAAGGGGTGTGGTTTGACAAACCAGGAGGAAATGCGGGCTTGGGACTGCACGTGCATGCATGATGGATGTGACACGTGCCACGTGCGCTTCTGTGCGGCCTCAGGTTGCGGAAAACGTTGAGAATCACTCAAAACGCCGGAAAATTGCTGAACATGTTGCGGTTGCGAGCTCACCAGAATAACGCGGCTGCCACTTGCCGAAATCAGTTCCGCAGCCGCTGAAGACAGCAGCAGTCGAACAGACTCGCCAGTGTTGACGCTGGTAGCGCTAGGCTCGCTCGATTCGTTCTCCTTGCACTCTGAGACAACCACCTGTCGACACGGGAATATTGTAGTTGAGACATGAGACAGAGTAGTAACGACACGAGACGGGAAAATAAGGACACACGAAAAAATGGCCAAGGAGTCTTACTGAGACTTTAGTAAACTTTAATGGAACCTGCAGCTTTTTCCGTTCGCATCCCCGTACCTCAATCTCGGCCGTCAATCTCCCCTTGCGCGATTCATCCAACGTCTCCTCGACAGCCACGTCAGCGAGCACCTCGGACGGCACACCCGCCAGAATTCCAACCCTCGGTGGCCCGGCAAACAGAGAGTTAAAGCCACTGTCCGCATTGTTGTCCCAAACAACCGTTACTCTGGTTTCGTTGCTACCGCTGCTACCGGTGCTCGCAGCCACAGCTTCCCTCTTTCCCTGCTGTCGATGCGCGAGAACAGCCGCGACGGCCGGCGCGAGGCAGAGGGTTCGAAGGCGGTCCATCATTCCGCCCTGCATTGGATACACGCGCGTCACGAACAGGTCGCGAAAATGGTAGGAAACGGTGAGAGAAAAGCGAGCAAGTGAGGGAGACGATGCAACTCGGGACGACAGAGGGTTCGGAAACGGCCTCATCACTCCTCCCTGCACTTGAAACAAGGGGGGAGAAGGCTTGGGATGGTGAGACAACAGGAGCGAGTCGCGCAGCACGCTTTTTGAGGAGACTGTTTCTAAAGAATGTTCAGAAGCTTGTCTCAACACAAGACTTTGGAAAACGCACCTCAGCGATCGCGTAGACGTCACCCAGCCCAGCAGCACGCGCCAACCCCTCCGCACTCTCCGCGCTCTCCGCACCCTCCGCGCTCTCCGGACCCTCCGCGCTCTCCGCACCCTCCTCGTGCTCCACGTTCGCCGCACTCTCCGCTCGCCTCGCGTTCTCCGCGATCCCCGCGTTTTCCGCATTTTCCGCCTTCTCCGCCTTCTCCGCATTCCCCGCATCCTCTGCGCTCTTCTCATTCTCCGCAATCCTCCCTCCTCGCGACGTGCCCTCGACATGCCTAGTTGCAGCTCCGCTAGCGGCAGCTCCGTTAGCGGCAGCTCCGGTCGACAAGGCTTCGGTGGCTTCATGTGACCCCGACTCCGTGCTTTTCGAAATCACGGCGCTCGCCTGGTCTTTCAAAATCTCGTCATTTTTCTCTGATGTGGCAGCTTCCTGATTTTGCGCTGTCACTGATTCTTCGAAATATTGCGCAACTTCTGATCTCTCCTGAGCCACGGCCCAGGAATCTTGATTCCCTGCAACGACTCCTGTGGTTCCCTTTTCCGACTTTTCTGCTACTTTTGGTTCCTCCTGAGCCACGGCCCAGGAGTCTTGCTCCCCTGCACCGGCTCCCGCGGAGCCTTCTTCCAGATAGCCGCCTTCGCTCTGCTCCACGAAAACATCGGTGGTTTCTAAGTTACCACTTTCAGTCTGCGAAACGTTGCTGTCTTCGCCCCCAGCAGCAGCACCGGGCCGAATCTCAATATCTTCCATGGCAGGGATACTCATTCGACGGACTCCGATAAAGGAGTTGGGACGGACGGTAGCGGATGAGTCAGCAGACGGAAAAAAAAGGTTTTGGGATTGAAGAGGCTGGGGAAAGAGGCCGCCAACTGCGGCCATAAAGAATAGCATGACAGCTGTGAGAAAGAGAATTGCGACTGAGTTAAAGCCGAGTGATTGGGAGATTTCTAAGATGCTGGCGCGCGAAAGACTCGTGAGGTTCCATGAACGATTTGGCCGCGCAGGCGAATGAGTCGCCTGACTCTTTTTACGGTCTGATTCAACTCCTCCTGGCAACTCCATCGCCTGCCTAATAACAAGGAAGCTCGTCGGACTTCTAGCGGACGTGGAGAAAGCACGCTACAACTATGAGACACTACGTAGATAGAACTAAATGGCGATCATCTTTGGTCCCTAGTTGTGCTGGCTTTGAGTTCATGCTCGCTTGTTATAGCAGAGTGGTTGTGTGCGTGCCCGAAGGCACACCTGATCGCGGTTTAATCTGTTGCATCGCTGTTGAGAGTGGTCGGGTAGATTTTTAAAGTTTTGAGTACGGTGCTGGAGCGCGAACGAGGGGTGACACTCTCGTGGGGAACAAACGGCTTTGCCTTTTGTCTCCCTCGGGATTACCTTCCCATCAAAATGCCTCTGTTTTGCGGGTCGCGAACCGCAATTCAGCGCAGCGTCAGTGTTGTTGACCGTCGCCCGAAAAGATCGCTCAGGGCACCGCGCGCTGCGACAGTCCCAATTTCCTTGCTGGTCAGAGCCTGTTTTTCGTCGATCACCTCGGAACTTACATTTTCCGGTGCCCGCGCATCGAGTTTCGGGAATTTCTCAGTGACAGGGGAGAAGATGGGGCAAGAATGTTGTGCTCACTGCCCGCTTCTGGCTCAACCTAGGATGCACGCGATTGGTCAAATTTGGCGGCAACACTTATCCACGCTATGGGACGAATCCGGCACTCTCGAGGCTTTCCTCTTCTAACGAAATTACTGACTGATCTACACTGGTGTAAGCGTGAAAGCAAATACGCGTTCAGTTCTCTCTCAAAGGCACTCTGTCCCAAACAGAAGACAATTTTCCCCCAAGCACAACAGCCATAGCCTAGGATGATATGTTTCTATTCGGCAGATTCGCGCTGCTTAGATCCATGTGAAAGCGTCGTGTCTTGCAGCGGAAAAGGCGGTCGCTGTCATGTGGGTAAGTAACGCTGATACTCTTTCGAAGTCCTATTTCTGTCGAAATTCAGGAAGATACGCTGGCCGCTCATTCCTATGAAATAAACATATAAGCTGAATCTGCAATTCCATTTCCCGTTGACGAACCATGACGGACCCGTCAGCCTCGCGTCTTGAAGGCCTGGCCCTAGAAACTCCTCAAGCCATTCAGAAAGACAGAGCGCACGCCAATAATCTCCTTGAGAACGAGAGCCGTCAAGCTTTAAACACGTCCTTAAAAGATATCCCGGTGAACGAAACCCTTCATCCAGAAAAAGCCTCAGACGAATCGGCTGAAACCACTTGCCTTATATCACCCACTGCTGATAGCCATTCCTCTCGGTCTAATCCATCTGTATTCTCAAATAATATTCTTCCCATTTCATGGCTCCAATCGTCGTCACAAGCAGTCGGTCGGAGATTCGCATCGTGTTTCAGGATCCTAGGATTCGGTGGGGGTTACACTTTCAAGCGCCGTTCAAAGAAAGAGAAGAAGGCGAAGGGAAAGCGTGACGTTGCCGGATTCGTTACTGTCACTTCGATATACGCAACGCTTATCTGGCTCGTGCTGCTGGTGCTTATTTTCATCGGTGTTACAGCGATTGGACGCGTGCTGCACTTCTATTGGTCCATGCGGAGAGACAGCAATAATCTCGGTCCAGTTATGGTGACTTTAGAGAGCGAATTCGTGACGGTCCGTCAGACTCCGTTAGAGGCGTCTAACGGTAGTGAAACAGTGACGGAGCGGGAAACTGCAGTTCCTAGCGTGAACGAGGATGCTGGGAGTCGCGTTGCTGTTGGAACGGAAACAAGCTCCACTGCTCACCATACTGCTTACACCAGCAGTTCAGATGACACGGAATTAAGCTCCACTGCTCATAATACTGCTGACAGCGGCAGTTCAGAAGTCATGGAAACAAGCTCCACTGCTGCTCACAGCAATGGTGCTGACAGCAGCGGTTCTGGTGTCACGGGAACAAGCTCCAGTTCTGACAGGAGAGGTTCTGATGTCGCTGAAGTGAGCAACGCGAGCGGCGGGAGACTCAGACCGTCGTTCAGACTCGTTGCCCTGGCAGAGGTATGTGCCACGTCGTGTCCTTTTTGTTTGTTTCTTTCTTTTCCCTCTTGAAATTTGCTTGAAGCTATTTCTTTTCGACCTGGTACTCCAATGTAGATCACTTTCTGGTAATATCATAACCATATTGTCACGCAAGAAAAATATTACAAAATAAGTGAAACAGCACTCCCGTGTTTCCCGCATGTTATGCTACTCTGCAGGGTGGGACCATGTCACAACTTCAAACGCTCTGCCTGGCGCCAGCTGTCGCCACCGTATTGACCAGGAGATTTCAGTCAGCAGGGGTGACGGAGACCTCCAGAGACAGTGGAAGCTACGTCAGCTTTGTCAGCTCCGTCAAGTCTGCTGGTGACTTGCCTGGTAACTCTGTTAACGTCCAAGACAGAGGTCTGGTCACTGTAGTGTGGCAGAAGGCACGCAGCAGCGGTGTGAATGACTTGATTCCCCATGCGCCATTTGACGCCCTTTTTGACGGGCCTCCTGACAGGGAGCGGATGAGAAGGGTGTTGCTGGCAGGATCCGAACCTGCTGCTGGGGGAACGGCTGTAGGCTCGGCGGTAGGAGAAGCAGTGGCAGCTGGAGCAGCAGGAACAGCAGGAGCAGCAGGTGAAGCAGCGGCAGGAGCAGCAGGAGCTGATGGTTCAAGGGAAACCGCGGCGCTGCTGCTGAGGCTAATGGACAGCTGGCCACACGTGGTGGTGCAGGGAGATATGGCTGCCGATCTGCCCCTTGCGTCCCTGAGATGGCTCAATGTGAGTACAGGGCTGAGAGCCGATGGGTAGAGCAGTTAACTTGCAGTATATATCTTCCTCCACTTGCTCCCTTTGCCTCACTTTCTCCCCCCCAAGCGTCCCCTCACTCGCTCCCCCTCATATCTCCCTCCACGTGCTCCCCTTCATGCCTCCATCCACTAATCCACCCTCATCCCTCTCTCCTCCACGTCCCCCCATCTTTTCAGGTCTCGCTTCCACCTTGCGCCACCAGTGCCGCCAGTGCAAGTGCACCCCTTCATCCCTCCCTCCACCCCTCCCTCCACATATTGCCCTCATCCCTCTCTCCTCCACGTCCCCCCATCTTCTCAGGTCTCCGTGCCACCTTGCTCCTCCAGTGCAAGTGGCAGCAGCACTGGCAGCAGCAGTGGTGGCAGTGGTGGCAGTGGCAGCAGTGAGAGTGGGAGGAGCGCAGCAGAGGAGGGGGTGTTGACAGAGGCAGGCACTGTCGTGTCTCTGCTGCTTCCCAATGCACCGTTGAGCCTTGATTCTTCATCTCTGGTGAGCTAGAAATCAATTAATCTGATAAAAGCGATTGATCTCCATGTATATGTCTGTATATATGTTCATAAAGTAGGTGCTGATAAACTGGTCTGTGGTGTGACATTCCATTACCACTCCCTTCTTGCCAGGCCTCCGCCGAGGCCTGCACTGTGAGGCAGCTGGAGGCGGCCTGCCTGGACGGGGTGCGGCCGTCAGTAGGCGTTGCAGCCGGGAAGCTCTTTGATGCTTCCTTGCTAACCCCTCCACTCTCCCAATTCCCCCCCACCAGACCCCCTCCGAGGTCTGTGCAGCGCGGCGGCTGGAGGCGGCCTGCCTGGGCAGGGTGCGGCCGTCAATTCCCCACTCTTCCCTCCGCCCTTCCCCCTCCCCCACTCCCCGGTCCCCACCAGTCACCTCAAGAGGCCTGCATGGTACGGCGGCTGGAGGCGGCCTCCAGTACAGCCGTCAGCAGGCGTGGCGGCCCGTAAGACAAGCTTCTCCATTACTCCCCTGACAACCCTCCCCATTTCCCACTCTCATTCCCAACACCAGTCATCTGAAGAGGTCTGCATGGCACGGCGGCTGGAGGCGGCCTGCCTGGGCGCTGTACAGCCGTCAGCAAGCGTGGCGGCCATCATGCGCGCCCACCCCCCCTCTGCCCTCTCTAGGCTGCCCCACTCCACCACTGTGTACCTCGAGGTGAGCGCAAGAGCTGGGGGAGGGGATTGAAGGTAGGGGTTGACTGGACTTAGCAAGAGCAGGCGTGGCGTGGCGGCCATCATGCGCGCCCACCTTGCCTCCGCCCTCTCTAGGCTGCCCCACTCCACCGCTGTGTACCTGGAGGTGAGGGAGCGAGGGAGGGTAGAGGGAGTTAAGCATGCGGTCAAGTTCTCAAAACCAGACTTACCCAAATTAGTTCATATCAGGCCTCTCTATAGCGCTTACAGCAATGTTGTCATCGTTAGATGCCCATATTTTTTAACCAACCCCATGGTTCAATGTCCAGGCCAATGAGGAGCTGCCACCTGGCAGCTGTCCAGGCTGTCCAGATGATCCTCTTCTGAACTGTACGCTGCGCACGCTGGCTTGGCAGTATCTGGGGGAGGTGGCACCTGATGGGGAAGCACGTGCAGAAGAAGCAGCCGCAACAGCAGCAGAAGCAGCAGGAGAAGCAGCAGGAGGAACAGCAGGAGACAAAGAACGATTAGGGCAAGCAGCAGGGGAGGGGAGGCGGGTGCATTTCACAGTGAGTGCGTTCTGGGCGGCAGATGCAGCTGCTGTGGCACGCACCTTCCACCCCCTCCGCGCCCCCCTGCTGCTAGATGTAACCCTTGCCCGCCTGCGCGCCTGCCCCTCCCCTGATGGCGGCGCTGGGGGGATAGGGGGGGAGGCGCGGGGGAAGGAGAGGGGGCGGGGGAAGGAGAGGGGGCGGGGGAAGGATGGGGAGGGGGACAGGGATGGGAGCGGGGAAGGGAAGGGGGAGGAGGGAGAACCGGGGGGTGGAGATGGGGAGGGCGAGATGGGTGGAGCGGGAGAAGGAGGGGAAGGGGAGGAAGGAGGGGAAGCGGAGGGAGAGCTGGTGAATCGGAGTAAGAAGCAGCAGGGAAGGAGGAGGTTGTTATCAGCAAAGGAGACGAGGGAGAAGAAAGGCAGCAAGGGATTGAAGGCCAAAGATTGGCAGGGCATGGCTTTGAAATCGGGCATCAGCAGCAGCAACGGCAGCAGCAGCAGGAGCGAGGGGGCTCATTCAGCAGGCGGCAGCAGCAGCAAGAGCGGCGGGTTCAACGCGACGCTGTGCGCGCAGCTGCAGGTGGCGGAGGCGTGGGTGGTGTCGGCAGCAGCGGCGCTCATCCACACCCGCGCGTCCCTCGAGGCCCGCTTCCTCACAGCCCAGGCCACCGCCGGCACTGCCAGGCGGATCATGGGGCTGGGGGGAGCAGGGGGTGCAGGGGGGGCAGGGGGGGCAGGGGGGGCAGAGGGAGCAGGGGGAGCAGGTGCAGCAAGTGGCAGTGAAGAAGCTGAGGGTGCTGCAGAGGGAGGGCCGTTCTTGGTGCGGCAAGTGCCATTCTCTGTGGCGCCGACTGTCTGTGAGGCTCCCAAGGCTGAGTCGTTCAGTCAGCAGCGGTTCCTGCGGCAGTTCATAGTGGACGGTGAGAGAGAGGGGCTTGTTGTGTGATTCACCCGTGTGGCTGAGTATAATTACAGTGCTGCCCGGTGCAACAGTGGGCGTTATAAGGCTGCCTCGTCTTAAGGCGCGCTCAGGCCTGCGCATCGTCGCTTACCACTTCCCAGAGCACCGGTTTCCACTGCCTACTCCGTCCCACACCGCTCAACCCAGTCGTCTCTCGTTTCCTCTCATCTTCCCCATCTCCCCACCTCCCTGTCTCTTTAATTGCAGAGGATCTCAAGACCATCTATTGCTTCGTGCCTAAAGTCGCCTGCACGGGATGGAAAACCTGGTTCCGGGAGCAGCAGGGGCAACCCAACGTGTCAGACGTGTTCCTCACCCACGACAAGGCGCGCTCAGGCCTGCGCATCCTCGCCTACCACTTCCCAGAGCACCGGGCTATTGAGCTGCTCACCCGCCCGGACTTGTTCAAGTTCTCGTTCGTTCGGAATCCGTACACCCGGCTGGCGTCGGTTTATCTGAACAAACACGTGGGGGGCGGGCCGCCGTATTCAAGACAATTCTGGAACAGGGTGGGTGGATGGGTGTCGATGGGTGGGAGTTTCATGTAGGTTAGGGGGGGTGAGGGAAGGGGGAAAGGCAAGGGAATGGAAAGGGAGTGTGCGCATCCTCGCATACCACTTCCCAGAGCACTGGGCGATTGAGCTGCTCAGCCGCCCGGACTTGTTCAAGTTCTCGTTCGTGCGCAACCCGTTCACGCGGCTGGCGTCGGTGTATCTCAACAAGCACGTTGGTGGGGGGCCGCCGTATTCAAGGCAGTTTTGGAATAAGGTGGGCCTCTCCCCCTCTACTCGCCCGGACTTGTTCAAGTTCTCGTTTGTGTGCAATCCGTTCACGCGGCTGGCATCGGTGTATCTCAACAAGCACGTTGGTGGGGGACCACCTTACTCGAGACAGTTCTGGAACAGGGTGGGTGGGTGTTGGGTCTTGGCTGATGGATGTTGCTTGGTGCCTTGTTTGTGCGCAACCCGTACACGCGGCTGGCATCGGTGTATCTGAATAAGCATGTGGGGGGCGGGCTTCCCTATTCAAGGCGGTTTTGGAACAGGGTGGGTGCTGGTGGTTGTATTGTTTGTGCGGAATCCGTTCGCGCGGCTGGCGTCGGTGTATCTCAACAAACATGTTGGTGGGGGGCCTCCTTACTCCCGACATTTTTGGAACAGGGTGGGTGATTGGTGGTGGGTGGTTGGTGGTGGGTGGTTGTGTTGTGCAGGGTAGGGGATGGGGAGGGAATGGAAGGGGGAAGGGAGGGAATTTGTTCACTTACATGCCACTTCCCAGAGCACCGGGCGATTGAGCTCGCCCGGACTTGTTCAAATTCTCGTTTGTGCGCGACCCGTACACGCGGCTGGCGTCTGTGTATCTCAACAAGCACGTGGGGGGCCGCCTTACTCCCGGCAGTTCTGGAACAGGGTGGGTGTTGGGTGGTGGGTCTTGGCTGATGGGTGTTGCTTGGTGCCTCGTTTGTGCGCAATCCGTACACGCGGCTGGCGTCAGTGTATCTCAACAAGCACGTGGGGGGCGGGCCTCCTTACTCCCGGCAATTCTGGAACAAGGTGGGTGATTGTATTTGTAGGGAAGGGGAAGGGCAAGGGAAGGGAAGGGGAATTGAGCTGCTGACCCGTCGGGACTTGTACAAGTTCTCGTTTGTGCGGAATCCATACACGCGGCTGGCGTCGGTGTATCTGAACAAACACGTGGGGGGCGGGCCTCCGTATTCAAGGCAGTTTTGGAACAGGGTAGGTGCTGGTGGTTGTATTGTTTGTGCGGAATCCGTACACCCGGCTGGCATCGGTCTATCTGAACAAGCATGTGGGGGGCGGGCCTCCCTACTCCAGGCAGTTTTGGAATAAGGTGGGTCTCTTCCCCTCTACCCGCCCGGACTTGTTCAAGTTCTCGTTTGTGCGGAATCCATACACCCGGCTGGCGTCGGTGTATCTCAACAAGCACGTGGGGGGCGGGCCTCCCTACTCCCGGCAGTTCTGGAACAGGGTGGGTGTTGGGTGGTGGGTCTTGGCTGATGGGTGTTCCTTGTTTGTGCGCAACCCGTACACGCGGCTGGCGTCGGTGTATCTCAACAAGCATGTGGGGGGCGGGCCTCCCTACTCCCAGCAGTTCTGGAACAAGGTGGGGGGTGTGTGTCGATGCGAGTGTTGTATAATGGGAGGGGAGGGGAAGGTGAGCAACTTGTTCGTTGTGGTTTCTGTGCATCTGAACAAGCACATGTGGGACGGACTTCCGTATTCAAAGCACTTTCGGAACAAGGCGGGTGGGTGTGGGTGGGTGGGTGTAGGGAAATTGGAGGAAATGGTGGGGGTAATTGAAGGAAAATAAAAAATCTAGAGTGGGATGGGATGTGTGTGCATCCTTGCATGCTGATTGTGCAATTAGTGGCTGAATTACTGACTCACTTGCAACCTCACCATCAACCTTTCCCTCCACTCCTTTACTCTTCTTCCCTCTTCCCCTCCTCCCCCTGCACACCTCAGATGTTTTTTCGCAAGTTCATCCCCTTTTGCCAGCTTGTGAAGGCAAAGAAAGGAAACGACCTGTTCACATTCGGGGAATTTGCATGGCTGCTGCGGCAGATGAGGGAGCAGCGCCTCAGACGCATGGAGTCCCACGTTCCAACCCTCTTGGCTTCCCTTTCCCCTTCCACTCCCTGCAAGTTAGTCATGTTTGTTGTTCCCCCACCCTCCTCTGTTCATCCGGATTGCCTCTACCCTGTCCATCCCTCTTCCCTCTGCTTCCCCCCTACTCCCCTCAGATGTTTTTCCGCAAGTTCATTCCCTTCCGGCGGCTAGTGAAGGCGAAGAAAGGAAACGACCTGTTCACATTCGGGGAATTCGCATGGCTGCTGCGGCAGATGAGGGAGCAGCGCCGGGGACGCATGGAGTCGCACGTACAGCCTTTTTCTGCTGCCCTTACCCCCCCTGCATCTCAGTCATGTTTGCTGCTGCCCCACCCTCCTCTATTCACCACCACCATCCCCTCCGCCCTCTCAGATGTTTTTCCGCAAGTTCATTCCCTTCCGGCGGCTGGTGAACGCGAAGAAAGGAAACGACCTGTTCACATTCGGGGAATTCGCATGGCTGCTGCGGCAGATGAGGGAGCAGCGCCGGGGACGCATGGAGTCGCACGTACAGCCTTTTTCTGCTGCCCTTACCCCCCCTGCATCTCAGTCATGTTTGCTGCTGCCCCACCCTCCTCTATTCACCACCACCATCCCCTCCGCCCTCTCAGATGTTTTTCCGCAAGTTCATTCCCTTCCGGCGGCTAGTGAAGGCGAAGAAAGGAAACGACCTGTTCACATTCGGGGAATTCGCATCGCTGCTGCGGCAGATGAGGGAGCAGCGCCGGGGACGCATGGAGTCGCACGTACAGCCTTTTTCTGCTGCCCTTACCCCCCCTGCATCTCAGTCATGTTTGCTGCTGCCCCACCCTCCTCTATTCACCACCACCATCCCCTCCGCCCTCTCAGATGTTCTTCCGGAAATTCATTTCTTTCCGGCGGCTGGTGAAGGCGAAGAAAGGAAACGACCTGTTCACATTCGGGGAATTCGCATGGCTGCTGCGGCAGATGAGGGAGCAGCGCCGGGGACGCATGGAGTCGCACGTACAGCCTTTTTCTGCTGCCCTTACCCCCCCTGCATCTCAGTCATGTTTGCTGCTGCCCCACCCTCCTCTATTCACCACCACCATCCCCTCCGCCCTCTCAGATGTTTTTCCGCAAGTTCATTCCCTTCCGGCGGCTAGTGAAGGCGAAGAAAGGAAACGACCTGTTCACATTCGGGGAATTCGCATCGCTGCTGCGGCAGATGAGGGAGCAGCGCCGGGGACGCATGGAGTCGCACGTACAGCCTTTTTCTGCTGCCCTTACCCCCCCTGCATCTCAGTCATGTTTGCTGCTGCCCCACCCTCCTCTATTCACCACCACCATCCCCTCCGCCCTCTCAGATGTTTTTCCGCAAGTTCATTCCCTTCCGGCGGCTAGTGAAGGCGAAGAAAGGAAACGACCTGTTCACATTCGGGGAATTCGCATGGCTGCTGCGGCAGATGAGGGAGCAGCGCCGGGGACGCATGGAGTCGCACGTACAGCCTTTTTCTGCTGCCCTTACCCCCCCTGCATCTCAGTCATGTTTGCTGCTGCCCCACCCTCCTCTATTCACCACCACCATCCCCTCCGCCCTCTCAGATGTTTTTCCGCAAGTTCATTCCCTTCCGGCGGCTAGTGAAGGCGAAGAAAGGAAACGACCTGTTCACATTCGGGGAATTCGCATCGCTGCTGAGACAAATGAGGGAGCAGCGCCGGGGACGCATGGAGTCGCACGTACAGCCTTTTTCTGCTGCCCTTACCCCCCCTGCATCTCAGTCATGTTTGCTGCTGCCCCACCCTCCTCTATTCACCACCACCATCCCCTCCGCCCTCTCAGATGTTTTTCCGCAAGTTCATTCCCTTCCGGCGGCTAGTGAAGGCGAAGAAAGGAAACGACCTGTTCACATTCGGGGAATTCGCATGGCTGCTGCGGCAGATGAGGGAGCAGCGCCGGGGACGCATGGAGTCGCACGTACAGCCTTTTTCTGCTGCCCTTACCCCCCCTGCATCTCAGTCATGTTTGCTGCTGCCCCACCCTCCTCTATTCACCACCACCATCCCCTCCGCCCTCTCAGATGTTTTTCCGCAAGTTCATTCCCTTCCGGCGGCTAGTGAAGGCGAAGAAAGGAAACGACCTGTTCACATTCGGGGAATTCGCATGGCTGCTGAGACAAATGAGGGAGCAGCGCCGCGGACGCATGGAGTCGCACGTACAGCCGCAGATCGACGCCTGCCGGTTCGACAAGATCCGATTTGATTTCATCGGGCGGTTCGAGAATCTAGCGGAGGATGTGGGAGTGGTGCTGTGGAGGCTGAACCGCACTATAGGGGCGTCGGGAGCGTTCAAGATCTCCAAGGATGCGCATCCGACCAATGCTGGCAGCAAGCTACTGGAGCTGTATGATGAGGTGTGTATATAGTGAGGGGAAGATGGGAAATGTGTGTGCTTGTGGTGCTGCGGAGGCTGAGAGATCTCCAAGGATGCGCATCCCACTAATGCTGGGAGCAAGCTGCTGGAGTTATATGATGAGGTTCGTGGTTGATTGGTGTTGGAATGGAATGAGGTATGTAGAGTGTGTGGGGGTGGTGCTGCGGAGGCTGAACCGCACTGTGGGGGCGTCAGGAGCGTTTAAGATATCAAAAGATGCTCATCCAACTAATGCTGGGAGCAAGCTGCTGGAGCTGTATGATGAGGTGCGTGTGAGGGTGGTGTGGGCATGTGAGTGTGTGAGTGGCGTGGTGATATTGAGTGTGAGGATGTGGGGGTGGTGCTGCAGAGGTTGAACCGCACTGTGGGGGAGTCAGGAGCATTCAAGATCTCCAAGGATGCGCATCCCACTGATGCTGGGAGGAATTTACTGGAGCTATATGATGAGGTGCGTGTGGGAGTGGATGGTGGAACCAGGTGTTTGAGGGCGTGGGGGTAGTGCTATGGAGGCTGAACTGCACAGCGGGCGAGTGAGGGGCGTTCAAGATATCAAAGATGCGCATCCCACTAATGCTGGGAACAAGCTGCTGGAGCTATATGATGAGGTGCGTGTGTTGGTGTTGGCGGTGAAACCAGGTGTGTGAGTGAGGATGTGCAGGTGTGGAGGTCAAACTGCACAATACCCAAGATTAGGGTTTAGATCTCCGCATTCCAGAACTGCACAATACCCAAGTTGTCGGGGTGGGGTTGTTGGGTGCATTCAAGATGCCCAAGGTTGCGCATCCAACTAATGCTAGGAGTAAGATGTTGGCGTTGTATGATAAGGTGAGTGTGTGTGTGCGGCGTGTGCATGCGAGTGGGTGAGTGTGTGCGTGGCGTGGGCAATAGCACACAATGCACTTGCATTGCACAGAAAAGTCGTATTGCCGTGCTTAGATCGTATCCACACTCCACCCTTTGCGCCCCACCCATTCTCTCCTCCCTTCGCCCATTTGAATGCTGTGTTTCGTTCCCGTGCAGCAATCTTATAAGGAGGGCTCATTGCTGTATGCAATGGACATGGACATTCCCTTGAATGGAATACACTTTGAGCCTCCTCCGGAATTGTTGGATAAGTTCGGCAAACTAAATGTTACATCCATGTCAGGTGCAACCTAGGCTTGTACCTACGCGTTTACCAGCTACAATGGCTGAGTATACACAGACCTGGGATCAGCTTATGTGGGGTATGACTGAAGAAGTGTATACTGCGGTGCCTACAACGCTTAGAACTGCAAACCTCGCTGTACAGCGAAAGCTATGAGTATTTTGGAGTTGTGAGTCATAAGGCGAAGTATTCTACTCCAGCATCTGCAGTTTTTTTTTTTTTTTTTGGGTTGCGTGTCAGAACGAAGAATGGGATGGTGCATTGATGTTGGTTGGGGTACATATAGCTAACCCTAAGTTTTGTACCCCCTAAGACAAACCTCACTATAGGCTACAACATTTGACACACCCCCATAGCCTAAGTGAGGGGTGTCTAGCAGAACCAAACGAGTACGGTCACAAGACCAGTCCAAGAAACAAGGCTCAGGGTGGATCACAACGTCACCACACAGTCTGAGCACAAACAACAGTGGCCACAAGGCCAGTCCAAGAAGTAACAGAGGTATATAGAAAGCAAAGTAAACAGTACACTCAAGTCTAAGCAACACGAGAACCAGTGTCAACAAGGCCTAACTGCACACAGCACCTCTGGTGGTCACAAGGCGGAAGCGCCTTGGTGAAGATGTCTGCAGTGTTGGCCTCGGACTCCACAAACTCAAAGCGAGCCTGTCCACGCCTCTGCAACTCTCGCAGAAGAAAGTACCTGACGTGAATGTGCTTCACTCTGCTCTCCAGTCGTGGCTCTCGACAAAGGAGAATAGACGCCTTGTTGTCAGTGAACAAGGTCGGTGCAGAGCTCGGCCGCTCACCAAGGTCGGTGAGCAAGAAGGTCAACCAACGCAGCTCCTGTGCCGCCATGGCACCAGCGTAGATCTCAGCCTCAGCTGTAGAGGTCGAGACCGAAGAGGAGCGCGTGGACCGCCAGGAAACAGCTCCAGAACCCAGGCTGAAACAGTACCCCTGAGTAGACCTGTGAGTCTCAGCGTCGTCAGCGTAAGAGGAGTCACAGTGACCAGTAAGTACGACAGACTGCTGCCCTCCAAGAACTAGCCCCACGCCTGACGTCGTCGCTAGGTACTTCGCCACCCTCACAGCTGCTGTCCAGTGAACAGGACGGTGTCTCCCTGGCGCAACAAAGCGCGCAAGAACGCTGAGAGGGAAGGCGAGGTCCGGGCGAGTACAAGTCATCAGGTACATGAGGCAACCCACAAGCTCTGCGTAGGGACCACTAGGCTCGAACGGCTCGTCAGGAAAGGGTCCAGTGAGTCTGTGGTCAACAGCAAGAGGTGTGCGCTGTACTGTGGAGTGCTGAAGCCCGAACCGCTGAAGGACCTGCTGCACCATGTGCGACTGTGAAAGTGTAATGGTGCGAGCAGCTCTGTCCCTGGTGATCTGCAGGCCAAGGTAGTGGCGCAGCTCACCAAGATCAGTGCAGGTGTGTCTCTTCTGCAGTTCGGACTTCACGTGTGCCAAAGCAACCCTGTCAGGGGTGGCGAAAACAAGGTCGTCAACGTAGACCAGAACAAAGAAAGGTGTGGTGCCACGACGAACGAACAGCGACGGGTCAGCAGAAGACGGCTGGAACCCAAGGTCAGACAGGGTAGAACGCAGGGTGTCGTGCCACTCACGAGGAGCCTGACGAAGACCGTAAACCGGTCGCCTCAGCCTCCACTGGGTCCCAGGAGGGAAAGAGCCAGTGAAGGCAGAGGGACGACGCAACCAGACCTCCTCGTGAAGACTGCCCTGAAGGAAAGCAGTAGAGAAGTCGAGAGAGTGTAACTCGTAGTCTCTCTGTGCTGCTACGTGTAGTAACACCCGAAGAGTGGTCATCTTCGGGGTGGGCGCGAAGGTCTGAAAGAAGTCAACTCCCTCGCGCTGACTGAAACCTCTAGCCACGTAGCGCGCCTTGAAGACCGGAGGAGATCCCGGTGGCCGCTTCACCCTGTAGATCCACATGCCGTCGACTACGTTCGCCCCCGGAGGGGGAACCTCATCGACGTAGGTGCCTGTGGATCTGTAGGAGGCCATCTCTACGTCCATGGCAGCTCTCCACTGAGAGGCCCAAGGCCCTGACACTGCCTCAGCGTAAGTGCGAGGAGTCGGAATGTCAAGGGCGTCGGGGTCACCCTCAGGGGCGAGGAGCATGGCACAGAGATGAGGGGAAGCGGCTGCCAGGAACTCTAGCTCAAACTGCCTGTCCTCTAGGGCGTCACAGCCAAGGGCAGACACACCCCCGACGGCCAGAGGACTGGAAGGAGGAGCAGCCACAAGAGCGGTGGCGAAGTCAAGGCGGCGGGTAGAGGCAAACTCAGTGACTGCGGCAGTAAGAGCGGACACAGAGGACACAGAGGCACGAGGGTGAGTAACAAGTGAGGCGAGAACACGAGAGAGAAGAGGACGGTACGTGCGGTAGTAGTCAGTGACAGGAGTAGGGAGCGACGCAGTGAGAGCCGACTCAGGAGGAGACGGAAGCACAGACGGAGACGGACGAGGTGGACTAGAACGAAGTAAGGCAGTACGAAGGTCAGTGAAGGGAACAGGAGACGAGGGACGAGCACGAGGGGAGCGACGAGAGGCCCAAGTCTGAGAAGGAGGAGGGGACAACGAAGACTGAGAACGAGGGAAAACAGCGGGAGAGGGGTCAGGAGGAGGAAGCGGAGGACCAGAGACGGGAGGAGAGGGGGAGGAGGAAGGAGAGGGAGAGGGGAGACCAAGGGTCCGAAGACCCGAGACAGGAGGAGGAGACGGCAGCTGCTGCTGCTGCGGCTGCTGCGGCTGCTGCTGCTCCAGCGGCTGCTGCCCCTGCTGCTGCTCCTGCTGCTGCTCCTGCTGCTGTCGCTCCTGCTCCTCGAGCCGCTGCAACTCTCTCTCCTCTCTCTCCAACTCCAGCTGCTCCTCACGAGCACGACGAACACGAGCCTGGAACCTGGTCGGGTAGGGGTGGGGGGAAGGAGTAGTGTCCGGGGCAGCGGCAGCCCCAGAGTCGACCTCCGAAGCACCAAGCACACCACCCCCAGAGGCAGCACCAACACCAGCTCCAGACCCAGGCTCTCCAGAAACCGAAGGGACACCCTCACCCCCAGACGCAGCACCCCCAGACTCCGCACCAGCACCCCCAGACTCCGCACGACCAGTACCAGCCCCCGGAAGACAAGAGTCCTCTGCAACCCGCGGCTCAGCTCCAACTCCAGCACCCCCAGAACCAGAGACCTGTACAGGGACAGTCGCAGGACCAACCTCCCGAGAGGGAGCACCTGCAGGAGGCGGCGAGGAAGACTGTGGGGAGGGAGGCTGTACAGGGGGGGCTACCGAAGGGGGAGGGCTAGCCTGAGACACACCAGACGGGGCTGGACCAGGGGGGGGAGGCTGTACCGGGGGAGCAGGCGGGGGAGCGGCTGTCAGGAAGAGGGGGGGAGGAGGAACCAGGAGACCTCGACTGGGGTACCTGACGTAGTACGGGGTGGACTCCTCGAAACGGACGTCACGGGAGTCAAAGAACCGGTGAGAGGGAGGGTGGTAAAAGGTGAAGTCAGAGGAGTCCTCAGGGAAACCAAGGAAGACACAAGGAACGGCGCGAGGCGAGAGCTTGTCCGCGGAGGTGTCGCGGACAAGAGCCAAGCACCCCCAGACACGAAACCTCGACGCGACACCAGGGGACCCTGTCCAAAGACTGGTCGGTGAAGCCTCCGGCCGAGAGACGCGTGGCCAGAGGTTCAGCTGGTGCGCGGCGTACCTGACTGCGTATGGCCACAGGAAATGGGGGGCACGGGCGTGAGTCAAGGAGGTGCGGGCAATCTCCATGACCAGGCCTATGCGACGCTCAGCAACCCCATTCTGCTGTGGGGACTCCGGAAGCGTCCAGGACTGACGAATGCCCTGTTCGCGACAGAATCCAGCGAGAATGCCGGAGCGAAACTCGCCCCCGCGGTCGGAGTGGAGACAGCTGACACGACGACCACGAGTGTCCTGGGTGGTAAGCAACCACCTGATCAGCGTAGAAGTCACCTCAGACTTCCTCGCCAGGGGGAACACTGTGGTGTAGCGGGAGTAGTCGTCAACGACCACCAAAAAGAAACGCTCACGCTCAGGGCCAGGGCGAGGAGAGGGGCCCCAGACGTCCAAGTGCAGCGTCTCAAAAGGCTCGGTGGCCGGACGAAGGGAGGAGGAGTGAGGGGTGGCACGCAGCCTACCCTCGACGCAAGGACCGCACGGTGGTGCAAGAGACGGCGGCAGCGACGGCAAGACACGCGGGAGACCTAAGACCAGACGCTGACTAGACATAGCACGCAGACGTGGAAGAGAAGGGTGTCCCATCCGGTGGTGCCACAGAACGGTGGGGTGGGCAAGCGACCGACAGGAGCAAGACGCAGCGACTGGACTGGACGCGACAACCTGAGGGGACGGAACCACCTGGTGAGACGCAGGGAGGAGACTAGGGGGAGGGACAGGAACTGGGAGGAGTGGCCGCTGCGACGGCGGCCGCTGTGGCTGCGGCTGCGGCTGCTGCCGCTGCTGCTGCTGCGGCTGCTGCTGCTGCTGCTGCTGCTGCTGCTGCGGCTGCTGTTGCTGCTGCTGCAGTCGCTGCTGAGCGCGCGGGCCAGTGTGAAGAGTGTAGAGACCGGAGCCCGGCTCAGCAGCAAAAGTGGCGAGGGGCTGGTAAGAGTCCCCGTCAACACACACCGCAGTCTCTCCAGAAGGCTCAAACCACACACCCACGTGCTGACTCACGAGGGGTCGCACGCCCACCAAGTTCCGGGAGAACGAGGGGACGTGAAACCCAGTGAGAGACCCAGAAGGAGCAGCCGGACATGGCAAGGTGGTAGTGTGACGCGCAGTGACTGGTCCCGAAGTGGGATCAGCCAGCGCCACAGAAACAGGCGCAGGAAGAGGCGTAAGTGTCGTGCTGTCACGAAAGAAGCAGTGAGAGGCTCCAGAGTCCAGCGTGAACGACAGCGAACCGTCCTCTGAGGTAGCCGCTGGACTAGAGTCTACACAAGAACCTACACTAGCTA